TAAAATACGAACATATGGAAAAGGGATAATTCGACTTCTAGTAGAGCTCACTGTAAATATAATTAACAAAATTGCCAACATGATCGAGAGTTTGCTTTGGTACTCCTTACCGTTAGTTATCGGAGCGCAGATGCCTCGATGGCTCGGAGTAACACAGCGGAATTAATTATCTTGACGATGTATTACGCTACTAGGCTGCAGCTGCATCGCATTTCCTTCTATTAGACTTCTGAAGTTTTACGTGTTCAAGCATCGTCAAAATCGTGTCCAAAGCGATATACGTTTAAACGGTTTTTCCCTTTTTCCAGGATCGGGAGACGATCATCGGGACACCAAGGATATCGTCATTATTTCTGGAAGATACGTGGCGGTGGCAATGACTACGACAGAGGCCAAAAGACAAACCGTCCGCCGCGACAAATCGGACCGGCCAGCGATAACCGCACAATTTCGCCTATTCTAGGCCATCCATGGTCAGGTTTCTTTAGCCGATTTATCAGGCACAGTTATCAAATGTTGTTAAAACCATTCTTCATTGAACGTTCGCTACAGTGATGCCGGGAAAACGGCCGCATCGGTGTCTCTAATCGATAAGTACTGCCGTGAAGTTCTATTCTGCTGCTTATCAAGGAGTTGCCCAAGTTACTTGTTAACGCAGTTAGTCTGTCCGTTATTTTAATTAGAATTCTATTTTTAGATAATAACCTCAATCTTTCTAATTTGAACGCCATTCAATCAAACTTTTAGTAATCATTCCACTGCAAACCAACAAGGACGTGTGACCTTTTACGTGTCTTGATACCCTATATAACAAACTGTGAAACCAAAGTCAATTTCAGGCCTTTATGCGAATTTTAGGACGATTGAAATTGAGTCATCTCGTTGAAACAACGATTAAATATAAGCTACTTCCTGAAGATCCAATATTTAGAGCAGCAATGAGGCTATAAAGCTGCGATACGATAAGGATGTCCAAGGGCTTTGAGATGATAATTTTTAGTCAATACGGCGTTACTATCTGAGCAATTTGTAAGCTTTGCTACGTAAGGCTACACGGGGCCATGGGTACTCGGCAGTTCAATAGCGACAAAAATACCGAACATCAGCTGTGATTTATGAAAACAACAAAGGAAGCTTCGCGTGTTGATAACAAGCCTTCTTATCCCGTTCAATAAAGGAGAGAATCTCACACTTTCGTCACTCGCAATTTTTCTCTATCTAAATTTGTATATCTATGGCTATACGGAAAAGACAGTCAAAGCACCGCGCAGCGTTAGATAAACCAGAGCTTCATTTGATTTGGCCACTAATTGTCGACAGTTATACACGATGAACCAGAGCATTTTTTACTTGCATCGAATCCAATCTATAATCGGATCTATATTGACGGCCCAGGATTACCCGACGTGGGCCTGCCAGAAGCTGTTTAGCAAGCCTTTTAACAAGCGTCCTTGATAGACGTGAACGTAGACTTGCTGTAGGACGTTTGTGAGATACTCAAGTTTTAATATGCAATGTTTTACTTGAACCTCTCTCAGAGGCTGCTTTTACCGATTCATTAGATAAATCAGTAGTAACCAGATTAAAAGCTTTGGCACGTAATAGAGTGCACGCAAACCACTGTAAATAATAAAATGACTTTTGTACAATGATTGAATAATTTACACTTTGAGAATTACAAACGTGAAAAAATTCACAAACGACTCTGTTAGCCATCATAAGAAAAAAAAGGTGTAGGATACAAACATTTGTATATATGCATTTATCCATATAAAATAAGATATACCTATAGATTTCATTGTAATAGTAGTCGTGTGTGACGTTTTCTCGGTATTCTCCAAAGCATATTTTAGCATAAACATAATGTATAATAATCGTCCATATTGATTTATCCCATATGCACAGTGCGAAATAGCTGACTAAATTTTCTTGTTTTAATGTTAAAACACGTTTACCTATCACCCCCCGGCATGTATTTTATAGAAACTTTGCTAAAAATCAGCAGATCAAGTCATTTACGCAGTCTCCCAACGTTCAGCCAGAAATTTTGTCGCAAATTATGCATCTGAATGCTAGACAACAGCAAATAACGAGCTACATTTATCTGAACCGTACTTTGACATGCTATAAAGGCAGACCAAAGGGATATTATTGGAATCGATATTATTTTTCGATAATTAAACGTAAAACATGGAAGGCGACCAACGTTTACAATAGGCCACTACTATACGCCGACAGCAATGTCAGCTCGCTTAATTAGCTAGCTCACTAACCAGCTTGGCTGACCAAGTGCACTGATTCCATGGATTCTCGATTAGCTATGCCTTCTGATGTGTCCCTTGATTACTAAAACAAATTAAACGAAAGGACCCTATGTACCTATTAGATGGAGGAACGGTCACCGTATTAGCTAGCACTGAATGAACAAATAACTAACTCATAGTTGCCATTCTTCACTGATGGCTCTGTGACTTCTTCAAGGACATGCAGTACCCTCAGGTACGGTAAGCGTCGAAAGTTCTTCATGCATCTACCTGGGCACCTTGCACCCGGTAGCGATAATGACATCTTTCGTTCAGTTTGCCCGTACCGCGGCAGGATAGTGTTACCTAAGCAGGAGAAAACGGATAACTGTGCTAGATGATTTTGGTCTGTCGAGCAGCAAAGCTAGAACGAGAAAGATACAGCGAGAAAAACATCCTGCAGTCATCATTCTTCGTAACCGGCTAGAAATTAAACGACTCTCTTATGGGCCTATTGCTTCCTCTGTACTCTTGATGAACTCCGCAGAACGTAATTGGAGTATACAACAGTGCACGGAATCTCCAGACGCAGTAGGCACAAAAAAACAAGACACTGAACGCTTCCTTATGTCAAGCTCGAACTTTTCGCTTCTTTCGTATATACCAATGCATTGCTCAGACGTCTTCACATAAAATCCTCCACACCACTAAGCAGTTTCTATGGGTCCGATCGGCAAAGTTGGTGGGAGCCGCAATCATGCCCTGCGTTGCCGTCGGTCATTGTCATTTACGATATCTAATAGCGGTACCCCAAAGAAATATTGTTCTCCATCCCTGTGTGCGCTTGTAACATGTACAGCAAGTTGAAAATTATCGAATTAAAAGGAATTGCTTTGTAAAAGGGGTCGGATGCTTTATAGGTAAACTCCCTATATTATCCCACGTAGATATAAATAAATCGTATAGTCAGAACACAACGTTACTGAAGAAGTGAACTATATTAAAGGTCTTAGCGTATTCGAGTAGGGTGCCCTTGATTATCGCATTGAAAGGATCTTAGCCTCATTATCGAATTGATAATACAGATGAGGTGGCGCTATGCTGAGACTATTGCGTATTGAAAGGTTTGAGGATTAATTGTCAAGGCAGACTCGGGAGTAGAGTGCTCCTGTCACTATCAAGTATACAGAAAAACTTCCGAGAAAAGCTCAGATTATACTTGTTCTGATTCATAGAACCGGCATAATATCTTTGAGTTGCTTTAGCCAATTGTTTTAGTTGGTTGCATGCTCAATGACTTTGTGAAATGTCTTTAGGGGTAGAATAAAAAAAAATCTTATTCGACGAGCATTACAGATGTCCCATCTCAATGATGGACTTTTGTATCCTTAGTATTATCAAGACCTTCAAACGTATCTACCTCTTTCGTTGACGGCGATTTTGTAGATATGTCGCAAACTTTTATAGCTCGTTACATTATGTTGTTGCAACGCATTATTCTCAAGAATCTTAAATTAAACGAACGATAACGGCACTCGATATAACGGAGCGGGACGGAACCAAACGCAAATGAAAAACAACAAAGAAAAGGGAAAAACCCAGAAGTGGGGTTTAAGAAAAAATAGTAATTGAGAGGAAGCGTTTCGTTGTATGAATTTATGTGATTATTTATTCGCTGCGCATCGCTGCTACCGTTAATATTGTAGACTCTATAATATTTTTGTCCTTTGTCGCTCCGTGTATTTCCCATTGCGTTTCCTAGACAACCTACTTTCCGTTGGGCATTCATTCATCCTTTCTCTCGTTCGATTCTCCTTCTACACTTCACAGATCGTATCCTCGATTTTAGTGGGCGTGTTTTTAAACAGTACAGACCGTCGTAAACCGTGGCGGTGTCCGCTCAAGGCATCAAGAACGTTGAATGACGTGTTGTACGGCCCACAACTAGTTTTTGCAGGCACTGGGCAACGTCGCGTACATCCGAATCGGGCGCAAAAGAAGGGCAGAATAACCGACAAACTTCGTTACTGTGATCGCTGCTTACATCGGACGCTTTGGCAATGTGAAACATTGACAGCGTAATTGATAATTCGCGCTGGACTTCAGATGGGTTACTTCTGTTTCTGCCACTTCCGCTGATTTACTGTGTTAGTTTAGAAGCAAGGGACGCTCAGTTGGATGGCCACTGTCTATAAGATTCTGGTAATGCCAACGGCTTCTTATTTCTTCTGGGTGTGTCGAAACGTAACGACTATCGACATGAGCGAAAGCAGCAGAACTCGATTCAATCATAATTCTATTGAGGAATAGCTGGCGTCTATTATTTTTAGTATGTATCATTACAAGCGTGATTATGTAACAGCGGCCATATTACACTATAGGGAAAGCACACGGACAACATATGCACACTCAGGTACACCTTGCAAGCACACTAGTTAAATGGAGAAATATCACTTGCCGTAAGAACATTGACACAACAAGCATGTCGGGATGATTCGTAAATCGCGCCTACTGAATATATTTTGGTTGATATTTTAAGAATTAAAGTTTGATATTGTTACTGGACGAAGGTTAGATATGTGTTAGGTAGGCAGTGATCACAACGTAAGAGGTCCTTTTGATTGCGGTTCGGAAACACTGAGCCCTGTCGAGTCCATTATCATTTTATCGCGTGCATCATTTGACAATTGTGCTACTAGTAAATATCACAGTGTTATAACTTCTAATTATTTCTTAATTATCATCCGTTGATATATGTGCAAGTATTGTGCTAACGTTAATCAGCCCATGGCCCCATCAAAAGTAAGGCTCACAAACCTATCAATGAGTTCAGGGAAGTGTCTACTTCTGCGTAAGGTGGAAAAAAAGTTTAGAATCCTTCGTTCACTATAGCTAGTATGCAATTGTGTGAAATAATTGGACGATCGTCCTCTTCGTTTGAGTGCTGAGACAGAGAACAATTTCAGCCCTTAAAGCGGATTTTACTAATTTAAGTCTGAATAATTCAAAATGCCCAATAAAAATCGAAATAATACTAGCGGTAATAACGTTCCCCCAGCAATTAGCAATTCCGTATTAGTTTTTTCAACGGTAACAAAGACGAACTCCTTATCCGGCGTCCAGTTGGATAATGATAATAACAAAGTAGGATTTCTTTCGAAACGACGATATTTATTAAACTCTGCCGCAGTAATTAGGCATTTTACGGTCCCAATATTCTCTAATGCGTGTCTACGCTGTTTTTCTTCTTTGCCTTCGAGCATTTTCACATGCTTTCGTCTATATTTCAATTGATCTTTCTTATTTCTGTGTGTACAATACGAGAGTAAGTCGACTTATCGATTTCTCTTGGCGCCACCGCGCTGTCCGTGGAAAGCTTCGAACAAAAGGACGCATCTACAATTCTGCTCAGAGTTGAGGCAAATCGACACAGTATGTAAGGACAACTGTGCGCCTATCAAAGGCCTGCACTGATTGCACTTTATTATCAACATTTAGCAACATGTGCACATATGGAAAAAATAGTCTCTTTCAGGTGTGAAAACAGCAAGGTTAACTAAAGTAAAGCAGATCAAGTCTTCAATCAGCACTCGTCACTTTTTTTGTCAATGGTTTATTACGAAAAAACTGAGTAAGACAATCATTGAGCTATGGCGACTCGGATTAGATTATTAGTCCGGACAGCGCACCCTACTATTCACACAATTATTATTATTAGTGTTATAATTATTATTTATTTTATTATTATTATTATTATTATTTATAATAATAGTAATATTTATATACAACAGGTGGCTTTGGTGACTAGATGCTTTTTATCATAACGATCTCTCTACTAAGTTAGACGGAAGGCCGGAGTTACATTGAACTGCTGCGATATGGTGGGTATGCACACATTTTGCCGCTTCTTCATGATGGATTTGCTTTGTTTCTCACATGGTTCATTCGTATTTCGCCCAAATATCGGAAGCATGCATGGAACGTATTTGCCGTTTTTAATCTTCCTAAACAACACCTCACTCATATAGAGCTACCGCATAACGCATCGGCTATGGGCAGGAAAAGCATGTTCATTTCCTGGGAACATGCCTCGGTTTAGAGGCTTCCTTTTGTAACATAAGCTGCTAGACAATTCGGAACAGGACCATAGCCTATTATTGCCTTGGTGTTACTTTCCAAATATCCCCAGGCTCGAATTCGTTTCGCGTCGTCACCTAATCACACTCTCTTCTCATGTTGGACATTTTGGAGTTTCACATTGCTGGGATCCATTGCACAGTTACGCGTTGTATAAAAGACGCGCCTTGAAATAGAGATTGCCGGCTGGAAGATTGGATACTCGCTCTATTTGACCTATTTCTAGCGTGATTGTTAGGAACTTATCCAGTGTCGCATCTCTACTCCCACTCAAGCTCAATACGAATTAAAGAGATCATTTTTTTATTATTTCCAATCGATTTAGTCTGACACCTTCGAAATCTATATAGGTAAAGGCTCACTGGTTTCAGGCGTGTTTTGTCTCAAGATATCATTGCTTGTCCTCTTGCATATTTCGGCTTAACGTGGATCAACTCGTTTATTTGCTATTCAATCCCCCCCCCCCCCCGCCAGCAGGCCTTTCTATCCATTTAAACGCGAAGTAAAGCCTATACGATTCCATATTCCAGACAAAGCTATTGTTCCATAATGAACAGGTGTAATCGATCCCTGTTGTGGCGTAATTGGTGCTGAGAGAGAGGGAGAGAGAGAGAGAGAGAGAGAGAGAGAGAGAGAGAGAGAATATGATGCCCTGTACATATTGGGGATGAGCAGGGATATTTCCTCGTTTAGTGGTAAGGGGGCGAACTGAGGTGAGGATGCGTGGCCGAATGGTCGATCTCCTCGAGCCAGGAGGCAGGTGATGGAGGGAGGTCAGTTCCGGGAACACCAGCAGTGTTAGCGGAAGCAGCCGAGGAGCTAAACGCCGCTGATGCGAAATGGGAATTGAATGGGCTAAAATGCTGAGCCACTACAGGGCCTCCCCCGCCACCTCCAGCTCCTGCAATATTAAAAAAATTTGAAACAAGTCAATAAAAAAGCCCTAAGTCGTTGTTTATAGTCCATTGTGAAAAGGCCCGTTTTTGCTCGAAAATATTGTTTACCACGGTTGCCGTTTTTCTAGACGGGTTTATTAATATACTGCTTTCAGTAAATCCTATCGTAGTTAAGAATTGTATATTAAAAGAATGGTTTATTCAAAAAAAAGAAATAGAAGAGAAAGTTATCCTGAATCGGGCAGGTACGAGGAGGATGACGAGTAGGTTATGTCGTCTAGAAGATCTATTCATTTAAACTGCGGCTGTTTTCTCGTCAAATACAGCAGATGGAAGCTAAGTTAGCCTTAAAGGTTGAGATGTCGAGAGAAGCAGATTTTAATGATAGAAGTAAAATGGCGATAGGCATTCGATGAGGAAACTGATAAATCACTCGTAAAGTGACCAGTTGTTAAGAACTGAATATGCAACCGATCACATTGTCAACGTGGTCCTTGTATTTACCATAGGGGACATGCTATAGCAAAAAGTTCCTGTTACAGTTCTGCGAAGCCAAGCATACAGGAAAGGAAATTCAGTAGAAATGGTTGCACATAACCAAACCTTGCGAGGGAGTATGCGCCGGCGAAGCAAGATTGTATCCTGAATAGGCGGACTGTGGCCGTGCAGGATCTGAGTCCTCGTCAATTACGTGGTCGTCATCTTCAGAGTCGGACGACAAGCCGGCCATACCGCCAACAGCTCCACCACAGCCTCCCGTGCTAAATGGCTCTGATATATCATCTGAAAATCAAAAATCCAAAATGATGAAAACATGTAATCACTTTAATGTAACCAATATTGCGCCCCGCGCCCAATCTGTCCGAACTACTTGAATACTATCAGATAGCATATGATGTACTAAATTATACATCGACTTGCTAAGTAGGCAAGTCGATAGACATGTGAAGCCAACAAAGCCGTGTGCACCAAAATAAACTCATACGACTATGCTATACATTTGCCCGATAAATCATTGCAGCAGTCTCGCCATTTCTGTACTATTATGTCGCGGGGAACTCTTCTGCATGCCAACGAATACTATATGCTCGTGTGTTGCATTACACACAAGCACATTGTCCCCATAAACATTGTCGCTAGAATAGTACAATCCACGTATGTTGAGATACATGTAGGTGTACTTGCTTACGTAGCCTTACAGGACACACACCTCCCGGGAGATTACACCGAAAACGGCAAGGTACCCAGGTAACATTACTCCATATCCCAGAGCAGTCGGCTGCGACCTCTGTTCCCGGTTCGTGATCGGTCCCGTCACCTAACAGCTGGCTAAAGCATACGCTGTTCTGATCTTATTGCTAGATTTGAAAACCTTTGTGGTTTGACTGGATTCGTCGACATCGTTCGAGGCTGTAATCTATTTACAATCTCCAACAAGTGCTGAAGGTTGAAAGTTGGCAGTTATTCGTTCTTGCGTGCCAGAAAATTAGATATGCCAAATCATGTATCAGATAGGTGATACGTCATCATATCATAAGTAGGTGCGTAAGTCATCTGTCGGCAAAAGTTATTGGTAAATCCATTGGCGTGGCCAGTAAAAGATCAGTTTCTTAGGCTAAAGCAGGAAATTAAAGGGTGGCGCCAGATTTGAGATCAAGAAAGAAGGATTATCGGCGCCATAAATAAAGTTATAAGGTTGAACAACCACCACTACTTTGACCCCGGCCAATCTTCCTCTTTCATTTTTACCTAAAGAGACCTATCATCATTACCACTCGCTCAACAGACGCACGGACTAAGGCTATGAGGTTCTCTTTACTTCCCTATTTGGCCAAAACGCTTCGTCCACTCGTCCCTCCTCGACGTTCCTTCTATTCCTCCCGCAAGATTCTCCGTTGTGCCGCAATAGCCGAATTCCATTTGCTAACGATCGCACGGCGAGAATTGAGAGGACAGCTCTACCGCCAAGCTCTCTGCGGTCAGCGAATATTACCGTCGTCTAGGGAACCTACGCCCACCACTGCAGTCACTCTGGCGCAGATACACCACACGATATGTGAAGAGTTTCTCGAAGGTGCTTTTGGTTTGCCCGAAATGGTACGAATGGCACGACGGTAAAGGGACGATAGTGAGTTCTCAGGCAGAGGGCAAAGGGGGATCTGCCGATAAGGTAACGGTAACCTCAAAAAGGGCAACGAGGAACAGCATGCATCTGCAGAGATCATAGGCACTCTAAGGCGACACAAGTGGGAGACGAGGAAAGCCAAAGCACCAAAGCCAGCTCTTTTCAACCAGCGATTGCTGGCTGTGACCACGCCAGATCAGCAACAACTCCGTTCCAATGCGCATTCAGTTGCTTTTGTCTGAAAAGCTTCCCGCGAAACCCCGTCTGCTCATTCGCTCGCTCACCAATGGCCCCCCATAGTCCAGACTCAAGCCTAGGGTGCCTTTCTGTCGGTATCACTGTTCCCTAAGCTCTCTCAACCCAACTAGGGCTTCGAATCTGCTTGCCTGCCATTCATTGCCCACCAGCGAGGCCGCTACAACCCATCGTAGACTCCCGTACGCGCTACGTCTCTGCCCTCTGCGCCTTAGCCTCAGCATCCGGCGTTTCTCTGAACAGCAACCCGCCCCAAGCTTTCCCATTCCTCCCCAGACTTCGTGCCCCCGCAACCATGCGGCCACAGAGCAGACGGATTCCCCAGCTAGGGTACCGGTGCTGCTACTGCTACAGCTAAAGAATAAGCGAGTGCCTCACCAAAGGGACACCCCTTAACCCCAGTGAGTTGCTAGTCGCGCCAGTCAAGGGGCTGAACCCGAGTCTGGGTCTTCTGGCGTGGCCGTTCGGGGGCGGGCGGGCAACCCCGCCGAACAATTTGCTGATTAACTTTTTGAGAAAGGGTCAAGTGTGCGTCCCTCCCACGAGGGAGGAAGGCAACAGAGGGAAAGAGAGGGGCGGCTGGCGAAGACAACCCCTTTGCCGCGCCTTCAGCAGACCAGGCAACCAGGAACTGGCAAAATAGGCAACACGAGTAGCAGCAGAACAGCAGGGATAAGCGAGACCGAAAGTAGAAACCGAAACTACGACCTCTGCAGGAGCCACGAATGAACGAGAGCAAGTAATCATAGCGGAACAGCATAGCGAAGTTTGCAGGAGTGAACTAGCACCTTCGTGCGTAAATATGTGTTACATGATGGTTATGACTACGGGGGCAACGAGAAGGGCAGAGAAATAAACGAAGAAATGTAATTTAAAAAGAGAGGCGGTTGTGAAATATGCCAGCAGCCGAATGAATATGCTTCATAATTAATGTTTTCAGTAGGATACAAACGTAGCTTTTTTTTGCTCATTGCGTTGACAAATAAGCCTTACAGTTATTTCAATGTGATCCATATTGTATCTCCTACGATATTTTTAAATATAATTAGCTTGATCGCTGTTACACAATTACTTATAACGATTTAGGATCGACAAGGTCCAACAGATCACGCGAACGGCATCCAAATATCACTATAGCATTAAATCAACCTCAAGAAATATCAAAAAACCCTTGTGTTAACGTTAGTCTAAAGGCATAACAAAAGCATACCTATTCGGTTGCCTTTTGCGAAATGGATAAAATGTGGTAGCTAAATATTATAACTGTGGGATAGACATAGCGTGGACGAACGAATCCCAGTTATGGCTGTCATCGAGAAAAGACAGGGCCTGGCATAGAACAGAAGAGACACCTGTCGTTCTAAGCAAAAGAAGGCTTCTGGGTTGGTCGCTTTGGAAACGAGTGAAGTGCCTCAGTCAGGCAAAGCAATATTGGACCTGCGCGAAAAGCTCCAGCAGGCCACTGCCGACGCCGATGTCTGGCGAGGCTATTGCTTAAGTGTACAGACAACAACAACAGGAGGACACGATGTGGCCGCTTCAAGCTAACCAGGACCAGATATTGTTTCCGATGCGGGCACCGCGCATCGTAACCGCAGCGTTCTCATTTCCGCTAGATGGTGAGAAGTGCCTGAGAGGTCGGACGGCCCTAAGAAATAACCTGTATTACATCCGTTTGAAAAAACAGAACAAGTGATATGGAGCCCTAATATAGATACGCACGTTATAGATATTAACAAACTGTGAATAATTTTTGGCTGTAACTGTTGTTGTCGTCTAAGACATTGGAAGTAAAATAGTGACCTTGCACAAAATTGAGGAATATTATAATTATGTAACGCTAAAGGATTTGAGTGCTTCAGGATAATTCTAGTGTATTGAAAACCTTGTATTTGAAGAAAAATTTTAAATTAAAATGTGCACAACTTCAATGTATTCGGTTTATGTGGTGCATGCTCAAAAGCGTGATCAGATGTTGAAGGGGCGAGCATTAGTGCAAAATTGAGCACAATTCATAGCCATGCCTTTTATACATCACGCGTACAACTTGGTCAATCTATTGACTTAGCTAACCTTAAGAAGAATATATTATGATCTGTGTAGCTTTCTACTTCAAACAATCTCGATATCTTTACGTAGACCTTGAATTGTTGTGGGCTGTTACTTGGGTAGGTCCATACCTGCTTATATCATTTCGCCTGGGGCATCAGTCAGGGGCGTGTTTTAAAAGAAAAGACACTAGTAGCCGTATTCGTCATATTTTGTTAACCTTTGAGGATATTGTTAAAAGTCCGATGACAATCAAGCATCCGCTTTTAGACTAACCGTTGTACCACACAGGAATCCCTTTCGCTTCACATTCAGCGTAACTTACCGTCCTGTGTCTGTCGTCCCTGTTACGCATAACATATTATAGAACTTATTGCATAGGTGTCGCCAAACAGTTCTCAAACAGTAACTTAAATTAAAACAGTAACTTTTCTCCTCAAATGTCACAGGTGCTCCGAGCCTTCTTAAGAATAGAATAATCATATGTGGACTCGATATTTTGTCGACCGCAGAACAAATCCCGGCGAGGGTATACTCAATAACTCACACGAGTATATACCATGGAGCTGATTTACTTGCACACAGAAAGGGCATCGATGACGAGAAGCGATATCGAATAGGTACTAATATTTTCTATAGAAAATGAATTGTCGTAGTGTGCATCGAATGATTGGTCTACTGTCTAACAATAGATCAAAACAAATAAAACTTGAGCAGACGAACCCTGGCTGATCCAATTTACTATAGTTGTACATTCATAGGAAGATTTTCAACACTACCGACGTTTCTATAACTTCGGTATTCAAAGCACGGCCTTCGTCATAGACGACTTGGCCGTTAGAGCACTCTCACAAAACAGCAGAGCAGTAGGCAATCAAGAAAGTGCGTTTGCTTTTCAAGCTAATCAATGCAACGTTCCTACAACGTTTTTTTTATGCTGGGGGTGTTCAAAAATGGCACTGTATTTTTCCTAAATATTTCCGATACTTTTCGCAGCTCTTAAGGTGTCAACAGGTTTTACTGCTTCTCGGCCGAGTTTAGTTAGAAGTATATTTATCTGTTTATCACTCACAGCATCTAGGCCCTGATCCTCTATCTGAACTGGATACGTCTGCTAAGATAACTTAAATGCCTACATTGCTAGTTCTCTTTGCAAGTTCCATCGCACGGCCTATTGTTTCCAGTTCGAAGTGGGATTTTGAAGCTAAAGGGCCGATGGTTAACTGTCATGGATGTAGGAGCGAACGCACGAAGGCTCTTTGGGAACAAGCGGAGCTAGGTCGGTCGGAGTGGCTGGGAGAGGGGCGGCAGTGAAAACTGGGATGAGGCTGTGGGTGGGGCGAAGTTCCTGTGACGGGTTGGCGATCTTTCCTAATTTGGCTGAGTGCCCGTCCCGCTATTCGGAGGCTCTGCTGCTGCCGCTACGGGCGCTGGCTGGGTCCTACCACTGGTGGCGCAGCTACGGGCGAGACTATCTCGGCCCCCTATTGGGGACCAGGACTCGAGCGGTAGGAGAGAAGCCACCAAGGATATCACCCCCACCATATCACTCTGTCCCCTGTAACCGGCAAGGATCGTTTGTATTTTAGGCCGGCAAAACCACTAACATCCAAATACTAGCAGTGCTTTCGTGGCTTTAATGACCATCGGTGCAGTAAAGTTATCGATCTGATTGGTAGTTGCGACGATTAGTTCTATAATAAGTTTATTAGTTTGTTGAACGTACCTTGCAGGGTTAGCAAAACATCGAATGCTTGTATCGTTTCAACTATCAATGGGTCGTTAGTGGTAATAAAGTGTAAGTTATGAAGGTTATTATCGATCGAATTATCCTATATTTTCGCGAGTTTAATCTATTTATTATTAAACGTACGGTTTTTCTTCCTAAAGAATTGTTGTTGATTAGTTGATCTGGTCCTATTTTTATATAAACAGCTTAACAGTTAGCTATACGAATATCCACGTAAGGATGCAATAGGCATTAAAAATGTTCCGTTTTTCAATACGAAAGCGCAATACGCGTTTCGAGAGTCTCAGCACAAAAGGCTTTCCACTTTGGTATATGGCAATGATCGTTAACGCCAGGCAAATCCGTTTGTTTTTCCCAAAAAACAGGTAGACGAGCTAAAGACGAGGTTCAGCTGAAACACAGGAAACCTCCTGCCTGGTGGGCGTCTGGCATCCATCAAGGAGCAGAAGAAGCCAGACGCCCATCGTTAAGTGTAGATTGGCCACGATCAAGGATCTTCCCTCCATTAAAGGTGGTGATGTCGCAGAGCGTCTATGGATTTCGCAATCTGGTCACATCAAAACGCTTTATGTTTAGATTCGGCTTTTCTGTCTGAAGAGAGTAGTGCCCAAGAAACGTAATCTCATGTATATCATACGTTGGTCTTGCACTCAAAATACTATTCTACTATACTGGGCTGGCTCGGGAGTTGGTAATGAAGCGACAATTTATTTATAGCGTATCCTGTACGTCTTTTTGTTTTATCTCCGCAACATCATTTCTATATAACAGCTGACAAAGCTCCGACTAAAGAAGAGACTCATGATTATATCTTTATGTACAGAATGGTTCAAGGGTCTGCACTGAGTTTCAGTGCACCCGAGATGCAAAACAAAGAACTGTGACAGTTTTATGATCAGTTTATGTTAGCCTAAAGTCTTTGTCAGCTAGACGTTCCTACGAAAACATTTATATGACTCGATCTATTTTATGTAATTTTGAATCACAGTTTAGTAGTTAAGCATTGATTTTATCAGTCACTTCATAAAATCATAGACTGTTTTTAGCATTATATGCTATTTACTGTCGTTCACATAGCCGTACAGGAAAATCCGAGGGGGTCAAATCATAGCACCGGAACAAGTTTGCGATGTCGTGCAGCCGGCGTGAGACATTGATCCCAAGATGATTGATTATTTCAAACGTGCTGTGACAAGTGTTAGGCCGTATTTTGCAATATTTCACACCAGCGCTTGCCGTTCACTGCTGCTGTCATCCCATAGATATATTCAAGGAAGAAAAGCCCAACGGCATTTGAGTCCTACTAACTGCCCCGCACGGTGTCTTAACGCTCACATTTTGGTTATTTGAGCGCTAGACACGATCATTTTTGCTATTCACATAACCATTCAGCCAAAAATTAACTTCGTTTGAAAAACTGATATGATCAAACAAGCTGCTGGAACGTGTTTGGCGTCAGCGTATCATCAGTAAATCAACGATGGAGTCGATTATACCCTGTAGGGACGACCAAGCGATTTCGGTTTCAAAATGCTCCTTGCTTAGCCAAGTTATTAAGCAAGACGTTTATTGAGGCCATCACTGGAGCCGTTGTGAAGCGATACCGTAGATTCTGATAGTAAGGTTTTACAATATCTAAACGCTGTTCTATGTTGTAGCTGTCCATCATCGCAAACCGCTAATGTCACTGTCTCACCGTTCGAGAGACTACCATCCCTAACGTATCTGAAAACAGGGACAAGAGTAAAAAAGTCCAGACTTTCGGGGCAGTTTTGTTGGTCGAAGTGCTGTCAAATAAGGCCTTAGATATATTTCTAGGACCTACTATAAACTGCATCCGCAACTTTTTTCAAGCCTCTTCTTACCGCGCTTCCTCAGTAACTTGCATCGATGGCTAGGTGTCAATAATCGATATAAACTTTTCAATGTGAGATTATTCATATCTCGAGGCAAGTATTACTATAGCAACAGAAAAAAGGAAAAATGCTATGGTTTTCCTTTGTTAGCTTTACTCTTTCGCTTGTTGGCTCCCTATTCGCGGCCTCTCTTTTATGTTGCATACGCGGCGTCAAAATAGGTACCTCCATTGGTCCATATATATGACAATAAAGGAACGATCGCACCTTAACGTCCGCCGACGGCTTCTAATCGAATCCTTTTCTCGCTTTTACACGGTCCGTAAAACGTCAATTAGTTGGGGTCACACTGTCTTCGGCGCGAACATCATTTCAGCATGGCGCCGTATATTGTCTTATTGCCAATGGCGTTCTGTTGCATGTTCTGTATCGCCTATGCCTGATCTATCGAAATGGAAAAGATCCACCGACAGACCAAGCGAGAAACCTGCCGGGAGCGATGGCGCTCGAGCTTACTGCGTACGGCTCCATTCGTCTACGATGTGTGTGCAAGTATGGGTCATAATCGAATTCATGAGGAACCGTAGTGACGGCCGTAGAACCAAGCAAAAAATGAGCAGCTCTAAGGTACAGCAGAAAAAGAGAGAGGGAGAGAGAGCGAAGCAATTCGGTAGGACCATGTCGATCAAGAGCAAGCGGCGCGCCGCCCGTTAAAAGTGACAAGTCACCTCCGGACAGTACGAAGGCAAGGTAGGAAAACCAACAATGGTGTGCCTTTGACAGCCGGTTCTACAACAGGCTTTGCCTCGCTGACTGAAGAAGAACGACGGTTATTCTAAGGCCAAACTCTATTTGTAGACATATATGTCAAGGCAGAAAAAGCATATAAGAAAGAGTACGTTAATTCATATGAGCACACATAGTACGCGTACAGTAAACAAGGTTCTCCAGTTCGAGAAACTAAGACCTTTATTAGAGCCGCTTGGATATCAACGTTTGTAGCTCACTTTGTTAGAACAATTATGTCCTCGTATGGATAGATCTTGTTTAGTTAGTAAGCAATATAACTTGTACCTAGTACAAAAATATGGACAAACCGAATGCTCTATTCTACAGTGTTGAGGTTCTAGCAAACGGTAAGATGCACCAGGAAACCAAGCTGAGAGTCAGATATAGTGCTGTACAAGACGGGACTGGAACGTTAAATTGCATTGTACAATGTGTCGTCTTTTTTCTTTCTTATCCTGCTATTTGTTTGGCTGCCCATGGTGTACGTCTTGTGCTAAAAAGCCAAAGGTTTTATCAAGGAAAAGCAGGAGCAGCATGAACAACAGCACGAACAGTATCTTTACTCACGAGCGGTGTGAACACGAAGAGGTCGGGGGACCATCCAGGCACATGAGTCGCCCAGAGTTAGAGTCAAAACAGGCCAGGATAGCTGCGTTATTCAACGCGGAAGGAGAGATAGAGAGTTATAACTTGATTTGCGATCGTTCTTATTCGCGCGTTCGTTTGGCTTCTTGTTCGGCCTGCGCCACTTCTCCTCTCAACGATGTCGATGGGGCTGAACTTCAAACTGTTTGCGCCGTGTCGCCCGGACCGCTATCGCCAAGTTACCACCGCGACAACCTCCGCAATATCCCCTTTTATGCTACCCCTGAAAGACCATCAGCCGGTCAAAGCACGCCCCCCTCCCGTGAACGCAGAAGTCAGAGGGCCGCCAGATCGTTCACTTTCTACTGTCTGTACAAACTGCTTACTTTGAGAATACTCCTGCTCCGCGATATGTTCCCGTGTCTGTTTCCTCCACTACCTAAACTCACTTCGATGGAAAAGAGAAGATCGCGAATATAGAGCGGCGTTTTTGCTTTAAAGGGTGAGAGTGCCAGGGAAAAAGAAATAAGAGTGTTAGAATACAGAAATAGACGCGCAGCTTTGGAAAGGACTACATACGAAAAGGAAAAAATCGCAGGGAAAGGAGCTATTGAGTTGATAACACAAACAGTGAGAATGGAAAAACTCTAGCTAAACGCCGTTCGATTTGTGCGATTCGAGCATCTCGATCCCCTCAAGCGGACGGGTCGAACGTCTAAAAGGGGGTACGTGCCACCCAACTGCCTAAAATCAAATAGTATTACCTTCTTCTTCAAGAATGCCGTACATATAGATGTAAAAACTATTAAGAGGCAAGGAAACGACGATGTTAAAAACTACTTAATCATACAGGCGGCAAAGGTCGTAGTGTGAAGTGTGGGCGACACAAATGTATGAGTGCTGAAAAGGCAGCTTAACAGAATACCGTCATATAGAAGTATTGTTAAATTATCTCTATACATGTAAAAGAGACGAAGAATACGGGAAACATTTGCGTTCCATCAAGATGTATAGTTTATGTTATGTAAATATAATGTGGTAAACTTACCTTGATAGAGAGCATGTTCCTTAGAGTCATCGCCAAGCTTCGAGTCTGCGGAACTGGGGGGTCGTTTTCGACCGCCAGGAGGTGCTCCGGTAAAGTATTCACCAGCAGAAGCTACCCAACGCGCTTTTCCTCCAGCATCCTTTTTTAGCCGCTTTTCTTTGGCGCGTCGATTCTGAAACCAGACCTGAACAACACGCATGTCCAAGCCTGCTCCATACCGGCGCAGGATTGTTGTTATATGACTAATTTTTAAATGCTGAATGATGAAGCTGCTTCCTATTATATTCACGGAGTGAAAAAGGCATGGTATCTAAATCGTTCAATTCCTCTTACCAGTATCTCTGGAAAGCTGCTCTCGTACATGTCTGGCAGGCTTCGGACTTTGGTTGTACGCGGATTTGAGGGTCTCCAGCTGCTTTGCTGTGATTGTTGTTCGGGGACGTTTTGTGCTACCCTCTAAAAATACATCGTAAATATAAAACGTAACATCAATGACGTGCCATATCGGCTACGGTCCTATTATTTATTGGCCTAGCATAATACAATGGCAGAGTCTGCCATATCGTAGGTCCTCTAGCGTTCCTGCTCTCTCGAAGAATGAACAAGCCACTACGAAGCTAACTAATAATAATAACAAATGCTTTCAGTGAGAACTGGTTGATGTTGATGACCACAGCGCATGTATGCCATACCGTGCCTTCAAGACTGCTATTGAGCTCGGCAATTTTGGTGAAACAAAACATAATAGGTCTTTTCGCATATTCACAAGAAACGTAACTTCGGAGATTCGGATCAATCACTTCGTTTTTGCTACCTATCCAGAAAATCGTCACAGATTAAATAAACAGGCACGCAAAAAAGACTCGTCCTTTCTAGTTGGGGGAACTATGCTGATATATGCAATAATCTTATTACACATGCTCCACAGGCTGGAATTGAATTAGCTTACTGTACCGGTAGACCTGAGACAGTTACCTCAAGATAAAAATGCCGTATTTAGATATAGCAATATAAATGCAGAAAGCTGTATGTATTGTAAAACTGCAATATGTGGTACGTATGAACCTAGAGAACATAGTTAACTACGATGTAATTCAGCCTAATAACAGTTCCAATGACAAAAACGAGGTGAACGAGAAAATTGAAAAGGGGTGTACGTTTTGGGTTCTTGTTATCCAAGAAGTGCGGTCGGTTCATTTGAAATCTGTTCATTGAACAGAAGCTGGACTTTCCTTTGGAAACACATTTAGAATTAGGGTTAACCTTCTGGTCTAATATCTTCACATCTTCACACAACTGCTATGGCGTTTCAAAGATGTTCATCCATCTATCTAATGGCGCATTTTCTACTATCTAGATTCGAACTAACGCGATTATGAGTTGTTGTGTTGCTTGAAAAACGGCGCGTAAAACGTTCCACAGTCATACTCCTTATTGTATTAGCTTACATACTAACGTTGGCAGATGAGTCATTTGTACAGTTAATATCAAACTGGAAGCAGGTAAAATTTCTCTTGAAATAATGTCAATACTGCCGACGTTGTTGTCAGCGGTGGTCATGATTATGACGCTGGTGTTTTAAAGTGGACCAATTTTTTCACTCAAGACATATGTGAAAGACACATTGAAAAATTGATTGATATAAATCAGAACCCACGATTTTTATCACGCTGAGCAAATGCTATTGCAATGAATACGCTTGTTTTTTACTCGTTTTTTACTCCTAGATTATTGAACGAAGACAATGGTGGGCAGAAACATTTTCCAAATGCTTCAACCTTTGGATCGGTTATTCGACGTCTGTACTGCGTCTAAATTTTCTGTATACGAATGTATATAATATCCTAGCAGTCAGGCAACTGGTTGATTTTAGAGAGAGTTGGGTTCATGAATGGAACCAAGAGCATCAAAAAGGTACCCATAGAGTACCAATCATGTGCGTATAGAATTTCACAGACTCATAGAAAAGGGCCAAGTTCACGAAGAATCGATCCTTCTTCGCTTGTCCCCGCCCGACCATAGCACCGAAAAATCGGCCATTGTGCATTAGAGTAGCAGTGTGCGACTAAGAAAATTTCCGCTGTTTTATTTAAATATTATGATTATTATTTTTAAATTATTAAATATTAGAATGCTGCTAATCACTTTAGCGCTGAGCAAAGTCAATTGTGCGGTGGGCAAAACTGTTCATAAGCGTTACATGGGTTATTGTAAATCAACGGTTAGCCGTCTGTTTCTGATCTAATGTCAAGAACATCGGTTAATAAGTCTGAGATTTTTCTGTTCATTTTAAAGTATAAATTCTACTTTGTTATAAAAACAAGCAGCAGAAGTCCCCTGCAATTTGCATTTGACCAAAAAGATATTAAGGCCAATAGCTTTACCTGACAGACCTAGTAGTACGTAATGAAGCCCAATGTATCAAACAATGGTCAATAGCTAAAAAAATTGTAAATAATGCGTGAATGTAAATGAAGAACGTGATAGAACTTTCGAAATTCGGTTCCACCTTAATATTACCGAATGTTTAGTGGTGTAAATTTTAATCAAGTTTTCGAAATAAAATTATTGTGGTGTTTCATTATTCTTATATTATTAGACATCTGAACACATAGTGTGTAATTTTACCTCGGGCTTTTGCTGCTTCGTAGTCCGCTTTACAAACGAGTTTGTTGTCCTCCATAAGGTAGAACTCGTCGCCAGTATTGAGTTGTCTCTTGCAAAGAATACAAGCGAAACAGTTGAGGTGGTAAACGTTGTCCTGAGCTCTCCGAACGACTTGCGTTGGCGGGATGCCCTGCTCACAGCCCGCGCACTTCGTACCGTACCTTCTGAAACCAACGATTGCCGATGACTGAATCACTGAGGCAGACCATGTGCCTATATATTCTACAAGTATTTATATAATCGTTATACGGTGTCCTTACAATGTGCATACAAGCAAACTCTATATGAAAACCGCATTAGAGCAAACGAGGTGCATTTCATAGTGGATTTAGAATAGTGCTACACGCCATATGTGTTAACAATTTCTGTAAATGCAATGCTATAAACGTATGTGGTCCAGTTTGTCTGTATCTTATTATTTTTTTCTATCTGTTGGATCAATAGGGTCGAATACAGAGCCGATGAATTGGTCTAATTTTCAACGAGAAGATGTCATATACTTCAGCGTACTTTCCTTATTCTGTAGTTTCTTTTATGCCCTATCGTATCCTTCTGGAATCTCAGTAGTCTCGACGTTACGCACCAATCACTGATTTGTAACATCTTCACCTAGGAACACATAAATGCTACCACCGCTAGCGGGCTCTCAAATGGATACTCTATAAAGCGGTCCATGTGACTATTCCCAATAGTTAGCAGCTATCTTGAGTGATTAATGGTTAGCTGAAATTTAGGGAAAGCAGAAATGCAGCTGAGGTAAAGTTTTCAGCAGCAGATTTTCACAGGGAATGTCATCTTGATACGACTATCGATTTGACTCGTTTTTCTTTTTTCGTTATTATACCACGAATCAAATACTTGGTTTCGTTATGGCTGAAGGTTACCAACGAAATTTGCGTATCTCGAAGAGTAAAATACATGGAACCGATCTCTTACGTTTGGTCAAACGTTGGTTTATACGAGGGGTCCATATGGTTGAGGCATTATAGTAATGATGCCATTTACCATTGTGGCAAGACTATTTGTGCTTGGCCAACGATGAGCGTAGTAGTACGTTTTGGCCATACAAAGCCGAAAAAAAAAAACGATATCATTTTTCCTACGCAGCAATGACCATTAACAAACTCGGCGACGATTTCGAGCGAGTTAAAAAGCTGTCTGGTAAGACCATGTCTTCTGCGGCTGGCCCTGCTGTTTGTTTTGGAAAGATATCAAATGGGAGGTAATTCGCTTTCAGCTAGAGGTAAGGATGACGCTTGACGTACGTATGATTGACTCCAATGTTTCGCTTAATAATACTGACAAATGCGCTTGACTTGGGCTGAACACGTCATCCATGATGACGGCCGATCCACGGAAATATATTGAAAATCAAACGATTGTTGTGAACGCTGAACGTGGCGTTCAACTGATGCGTTCTCAAAAATAATCGAATTGTTTCATTGTACCCTTATTTGTTGTCTTACATTATTTCTCTAAGAACTTCAGAAGTGTCGAGATGGAAAGCTGCAGAGAATCAACACCTCATCAAAAAACATCTCGACCCGTTGCAAAAGTGAGGATCGAAGACACAATCATATCGTCTCACTGAACATAATGTTGAGACGTTGTCTTGGAAGCGTCAACACAGAATCGTTTCAAACAACGTTATGGTTCATTGAGAACTTCAAAAGCACACGTTTCCGTTCCATATTATAGAGTTTTCAAGCGAACTTTACCGACCGATGTTCGAGACTATCGTCTAGCACGCTATAGCACACAAGGTTTTCATTTTATCAGGTACACATCTATAGGTAGACATGCCTATGACTTCACCGAAAAACACGCAAATCAAATATACAATAAATTGGTGAAGTGTTACTCACTTGAAGAAATCATCCTTACAATAGAGGTGTCCTGCTCGGGCGAAGCACTTGTTGGCGAGTGGAGCCTGACAGTCAGAGCACTTAAGGCACTTTGAGTGCCAGGGTCGCTCCAACACCTTCAGGATGAAACGGTCCAGGATTACGTCACCGCACCCTGCACATTTGGGTATAGCCGCTGAAAGACGGATATCGATATTGCTATTAATACAGGCAAATAAACACACCCGGAACAAAGCGTATGATATCCTGCAAAAAACATATACAAATATTGGCAAACAGAGTTAACGTATTTTGGCGCCTTCGATTTAAAGTAGCAAAATGTCGAACACCAAGGGATCAGCTCATGACTGATTTTGTTATTGCAGCAGATGTATCTGTATTTTAGAATAATTTTTGATCATATATATATCGTAGCGAATGGGATTAAAAAGCGACGGAAGAATAAGAACCTTTTCTATTCATATTTCGGCTGACTTTTCAGCGATTCTTCATTCTGACCATTTATATATATTCAACTAAGCATTAAGTCATATGTTTTACTGATGCGTTGGCCTATCAATCAATTTCTATACTTACTTTATTACACTAAAGTTATGGGTCAGCAATAGATGATCGAGGCTTTCCCTTAACCGGCCCGGGCTAGCATTGGTTTACAGTTTTGGGCTTTTGAAACCTATCGAACACTATTACGAAGGTCTTGGGGGGCGTAGCTGACCTCATAACCAGACACTACCCACAAATGTGTTTACATGTAACACTGGGAGCATTTTTGATCGTCTAAGAACCTTTAAGGATTTGATGCAAACCTTTAAGGATTTGATGCAAACCTTTAAGGATTTGATGTTTCATGTCGTGGCCGTCATTTCCATTTTCTCTTTTATTCACACCTGCACATTTAGTGGGTTTAGGATTACTTTCTCGTTTTTGGCCCTTGATCACCTTAGAATGACTGCACGTTAACAGGTCTATTTGCACCCGAATTTCTCTGTGTGAAAAGCTTTTTCTATAGAAAAGATTTGAGTACATATATGATTTGCATGGACGTCCACATTCGATCAGGCCGCTTATGAAAAACCTTTTTATGATCTCAACTTTTGTACCACCCCAGCTGTCATCGGGACAGTATTAAATGATTGCAGTGTTGGATACAGGACATATGATAATATTATAAGGCCAAAAATAACAGCTACAATTATAGTTGGGACAGATAGGGGAAAGACAGAAAAAATGTCTAGCAGTGGACGAAAAAAAAATACTCTTCTGGCATCTTAAGAAACTGTGAGGACTGTATTTTGAAAATTTTCGAGAAGGTTCATGAGCACGTTTTTTTACTTCTATATAGATATATGGTTTCACTGAATATAAGTTTAAGTTTTCCATCAAATACTTACACAGAACATCGATCAAGCGAGAAGCCTCCGTAATATTTGAATCCTTAAAACTACTGACAGATTCAGAACGGTGGTTGACCGCCTTTATAAAATTGCCGTTGACGCATCGTTTGTAAGTAGTTTTTTTTTTCGATCGAGTGTGCATTTTCTATGAGTGAAAAAACGCGTGACTGTTACAAATGGCAAATATTAAATAAAACTAAAATGGATGCTGTGACCGTTGTCATTTTACGTACTCTTTATAGTACTTTGAGACCTATTATACTTCAAACGAAAGGCACTATTACAATGTTTCTAGTTGTGCCAGTTGTCATTCAGCGCCTGTCCTGCATCCGTGTTTTTGACGACCCTCAAAAAAAGAAAATGTTTTCGACATCAAGGTCGAGTCTCGCAAACAACTATAGACATAAAATGGGTTAGTTCTGGATAATTTATTCGAATCTCAGGGGAAAATCGATTGCCAGGGTAGATGTCGTTCCTGTGATTCCGTCCTTCTATATAAGTTGCAGGTAAAGGTGTACATTGATATACTGAAAAGGGCTCTTAATAAAGACCGCAAGAACACTTGAATATGTAGTTAATTGTTTTAGAATATTGCCTATAAGAATTTAAATAGGCACTAATTACAACGTACGTACAGGCTTTGATATTACAGCATAATGCGCTACCATTAAGCGCCATCCTTCTCCATTCGTATCTATCTGCGTGCCTTTTCATCCGTGTACGTCCTTTTTAGCGTATCTCTTCGCCTATGCCTCGCCTCCTAAAGCCACCAGGACAGTGAAGAGCTCGGCTGCAATTGAGACTGTAACAGCCTACGATGCCCACTATAAGAAAACAGCATGTAATAATTAGTTCATTAGCTGTGACATTTTCACTGCGATTATATGGGCTCGTTTTTCCTTCGAATCGGTTTGGCGGAAGCTCGACCAGGCTAGAGGGGTCCAATCTCGAATCGAGCAATACCAGTTTGTTTAGGTAAAGGCCTAAAGAAAGCTATTTCGATCGGTAGATGTGACTAGCAGTTGCAGCCATTGATATGGCCACAGTCGTCCAGTGGCGCCGGCCGTTTGGCTATGGTTGCTGAAGAGGGGTGGGGGTGCAGATGTGGATGGGGAGAACGCTGTACGTGCTCGTGGCACGCTCGACTAAGTGAATTAAATGCAAGGCTGTTACTGGTAAAGTCGTTGATGCTGCCTCTACTGGATGCCTCTGCAACGACCGCCCGCAGAACGATGAGTGGTTCGTCGTGTCATTGATGCTCACGAAGCCGACGAGCTGCGATCTGTTGGCCCGTCGTAACTGGATGTGACTTTACTGCTTAGGGATACAGGCAGCATCCGTAACGGTTGTAGCGGTGCTTATAAGGTAACGGTATGAACGCCAGCTTGCGGGTACAGCGCTCGCTTGTATGCTTCGGAGCAAACCATTTCCACTGTCATAGATGAACCACAGTGGCTAGAAACGGACGAACCAACGAACGATGGTTCGCTATCTATCCTACGGCCAGTTATCGGTTGCCACACCGACCGACACTCCGCATAGGAGTGGCCTTACAGGCGGCATTAGCGGTTGTAGTTGGAGTACTAGCAATAGCGTTGTCGCCTAGCAATAGAGCTACGCACGGGTTGGATGAAAGAGCGACAACAGCCATTAAGTTCGTCGCCGTAGCGTCGTTTGGGTGTGGACTTGGTCGAATGGAGACTCGAGCGTCGAGTCTGATCCACAGACTTTTCACTAGCTGATTAGATGACTTCGCTCACTCCTGATGTCAATGTTCAGTGCCTTTCGTTTTGTATGTAGCACGATGAGCAATGGCAAGCACGTGGATGTAGCGGTTCTCTAGGGACGCTATTGGTGCCAGTTCTTCAAGTAGTACCGATGGTGCTCATGGTGGCGGATCTGCGGGAAAGGCAAAAAACGATACACGGGTTGCGGGTACGATAGGTTGGCAAACCTTGTCGTGGTCCTCGTTCTCGGGCCTTGATGCGTACGTCACCATTAAGTAGAGACCGCACTCAATATCACAGCGTGCATCGCTGGCCACAACTATTGTTCAACCTTGCCAATTCATATTTCACACGCGCTCATATACTTCCGCCGAGATGGAGCACCGACAAAAGCTCACCACCTGGTGGACAGTCAGGTAGAATTGGGTGCACCAGAAACAGGAGTTCGCGCTGGGGTGGAAGGGATGGGATGGGATCCGGCATTACTGAAACGCAAACTATATTCGTGCAAAGTAGTGAGGGGTCATTACAGAGCTGTTGTTACACCCACGGACGCTTTTTGGCGGATATTCGCCATTCGGGTAACCTCGGCGCCTTATCGTTGCAGCACATGATACGTTTGAAAGTAGAAGCATGATTCGAGCTATTTTAGCGAAAAATGTTTCCTCATTTATGGTAGGACGTTAAGGGCTAAGTAAATGTTCAGCTAGTAATCTACGCAGTTTTTATATGGATATAAAAATAATAACAAAATGAATGTTTACCTTTCATTACAAAGTGCGGACATTTTTTACTCTTGTGGATTAGTGCACATCACGACGTCGCGATACAGCCTCCCCAACCATCTTATGACTCTTGCTTTGTGTTAAGCTTTGTCTGTTCCTAAGGCATTAACGGTGCGCGAATGACAACTAATGAAGCAACAAGTTTGTAGCGTTTTTCATTTTGTAGACTGAGGCAAAAACGAGGACCTTCAGGCTAAAATAGCTGTATGACTCTTGCACAATTTATTCGCTGTCACCCCGTCTTAGAAGGCCTCCTCTGTGCCTTTTGACGCGCACCTAAACTGTGCGCCTTGAAGGTTACCCTGCGCGGAGTTCAGCCTTAGCTAGATTTTATCAGCGCTTAACTTGTTATTTCTACATACTTTTAGCTCTGTGTTGCTCATTTGAGGCATGTACAGACTCCAGATTTCATGCTTTTAGGCTTCAGTAATAATTAGTACGCGTATGATCGCGCCCGGTAACACGGGCGGATGCTACCCGAAAGCTCGGACAGGAACCTGTCGTATTAATATTGACATCATCATATAATTATATGATAAACTAAGTACCTCGATTATTTTCCATACATAGTCTGGAGGACAAAGGCGTTTGAACATGGGATATAAAGCAAATTCGCTAACAGGATTAACACTTACATATCGATTAGTTTGTCTATTATCAGTTTTTTTGCTTTTATCAAATCCAACTGATCGGCTCCCACTGATTTTATAGCCATCTCCGTGTGCGTACTGAAGCTGCACTGTCATCTAGCTGAATGCGAACGGAAATTGGTGTATTATGTAATCGTCGAAAGCGTGTAAACGTCTTTATAAATTGTACCTTCGTATTCAATTCGAAGTAAAGATGTCTCAGACTGCAATTGGGCGTAACTCGGACGAGCATCTGGCAGCTTCTGTGTACATGGGTCATGAGATTCTATAGAGAATAGTTTTAAAGCTCAGACGGATGCCAATCAATACTATGACTAGTAAAATATAGATTTAAACAATGTATGTTCGAAGGCTTTCTCTGGATAGATTATACATCTAAATCCAATGGCTGAATTACCCACGGTAATGAAGAAAAAAATAACCTTGGCCCATTTTTATCGTGAGCATTACATAGTGAGTCGTGTAGTTTATCCTAATTTTTATAATTTTTTAATCCGACAGAGAGGACGAACGAAACATTTTTATCTACACTTTCTTTTCATCATGTTTTATACTCATCGTCTCACAACATTTTGTATCCGTTATGTTTTCAAAAACACAGACATTTGACATGGGGCTA